ACTACCACTACCACTACTAATACTACTACTACTACCACCACCATCGTAGCGAGACGACAAAGACGAAGAGTAGTAGTTCCATGGGGACTTCGAGTGTGGTCGCGGATTGACGAGAACTCCTTGAAAACTTCAGTTGTGATCTCAGTTAGTACTCATGCTTGGTGTCGTTGATACTGTAATTGCCACTTCCACGACAAGTTGCCAAAGTGCATGTTCGCCATTTTTGTTGGTTCTTGGTGCTGCCTTTTTTTTACCTTCGGCTTAACATTCACAGTACCCTAAACCCTATACCCTAAAGTAGTGCAGGAAACGAGTCTCTTCGGCTTTGATCACTCCGCCTCTGGATCTGATAGCTAGCTTGAAACGTCGCTTGTGACAACTATTTTTTCCATGGTTACTCGCAGTACTAATGCCAGAGCATATTGCCGCGTCCTTCTCCTTGGTTTGCGCAGTAGCTCACTCTTGCACTCGTCTTTGTTGGGTTTACTTGCTGCATTGCCAGTCGCCGCTGGATTGGCTTGGTCCTATGGTTAGCTGAGACTGAATTCAGAAGCAGCTTGCTGGCTAGCTTTTCCGACTTCTAAACTCTATACCGCCTCTACCCGTAAGCACTGCTGGCCGAACACTCGGGCTCTAAGCGCTGCCCTTTGTAGAGGCCCACTCCTGTAGTCTACTGAGAGAGTGCGGCTGATCCTCTCCAAGAGTGAGAAGCAAGAGGCATGCTGAGACAGGTCTTGGTGTATGCTGACAGCCTGTCTTGGGGCATCATCCCCAACACCCGGGCCAGACTGCCCTTCACCAAACGGTGGCCCGGCGTGTTCGAGGCTTACTTGAACCATTCTGGAAAAGACGTTCGAGTCATCGAGAACTGTCTGAACGGGCGCCGCACCGTGTGGTCGGATCCTTTCAAGCCCGGCCGAGATGGCTCGGAGGGACTGGCACAAGTGATCGAATACAACTCTCCGCTCAGCCTGGTGGTGCTTTGCCTGGGAACGAACGACTTTCAATGCACCCATGACCATCGCGCCTGGCTCTCTGCTCAGGGAACTGCCAAGCTAGTGCAGATCATTCGCCAGGCGCCCATCGAACCTGGTATGCCCATCCCAGAGATCTTGATCGTGGCCCCGCCAAAGATCCGCACGCCACAGGGGCCCATAAGTCACAAGTTTCATGGAGCAGAACACCGAGACCATGGCCTAGCTGCTGAGCTTCAGGAGGTGGCCAAGCAGCTGTCGACGCATTTCTTCGACGCCGAGACGGTCACCAGCGCAAGCGCCGTGGATGGCATCCATCTCGATGAGAGTCAGCATGAGACCTTGGGTCGGGCTCTAGCCCAGGAAGCTGCCAAGATTCTGAAGTAGCAGTCTCAAAGGGTCCTTAGTATCTATAAATACTAGAATGTCGGGTCTATATACTCATAGTATAGGCATTGCTAGTATGATTTGGGAAAGTAACCCTTTTGGCAGCATTGGAAGACCCTTCGTGGTGACTGCGCCTGGAGTGAAGAATGCCGGGCCCTGCCTTCTAAGACTGCCTTTGGCGTAAGATCCTCAACTCCTAAGCACTATCCGGACCCAACTAACCTACCTCTCTAAGGACTTATAAAATATATAAGGAAACCACATATATATATATATGTATATATATATATGTATATATATGTATGTATATATAAATATATATCATAGGGAACCCTGAAACATGAAGGGTTTATAGGTCCAGGTAAGCCTTATCAGAAAGCCGTCAGTCCGTGTCATCACCAGTTCTGATAGTCCGAAGAGCTCTCTTGCACCAGCTGAGCGAGTGTAGAACATCTCCCTTTGTTCGAAGTTCAACCTCGGTTACTATGGAGTTGAACAATTACGGGTTTGGGTCTAAGGTCAGTGCATGTTTGGAATTTTGCAAGTTTTGTTGTCATGTGCCGCCATTGACTCACGAGAAACAGAACCTGTTGGAACGCCAATCGAGATGTGCTTGCAGCGAGGAAGTTCCTGGTCTAGGAGTCTAGGGGCATGTCGAAGTGAGTCCCCCATCTGAGCATCTTCGACAGCGACGCGGTGGGCATCAGCATTCAACAATGAGTTCTTTCATCAGCTTGGTTTTGGGCTTCCTGTTTGGGTTGAATGTGAACGCCTCAGATACTGCCACGGTCAGCTGGCTATATTGGTGGATCTGATGGCGGTCACACTTCTGCCGATGGTCTTATCGCGCTTGTGTATGAAACTGCTAATGCTGGCCATGGCATAAAGACGTTGATACATGTCCTAGAAACGCAGGAAGCAGCCCTAGTCGTCCCAGTTGCAGTCCTATAGTGTTGCGACCACTGCCTACTACTACGACGACGACTACCACTACCATTACCACCACCCCACCACCACGACCTCTACAACTCCCACTGCCACTGCCACTACTACCACCGCCACCACCACCACTACCGCTACTACTGCTCTACTGTGAATGCTGTTGTTACTGTTCATCTCTCACTCCTACGATGTTTTGATTCTGATGATAAGCATTGCACAATCATACTAGATATGCTGACACTCAGCACAACAAGAGTGACAACTAATTATGCACCTCAGTCTGCCTTGTCAACACCCACCGGCCCAGCTCAGCGAAGCAGAGACGACGCTAAGGCGTCTTTGATACTCGGCCCGAAGAAGGCGCAATCCCGTTCGTGTCGTGCTGCGGTTTTGACTTGCGGGAGCCTTTTTCAGCACATGCCTGCAAGTAGCAGTAAAGATCTCGTTCACAATAGTGATGGTAATTGTGTGTGTGTATATACATATATGTCTACATATATGTCTAAAATTTTATCTGCACATATATATATATGTGTGTGTGTGCATTAGAAATACTACCAATCAAAAAGATCACGTGCACTGTTTTGATTTGGAGCAGATTCCATAGGCTCGGCTTCGGATGTGCCTCCTGGCTTGTACCATGGCCTGCAGCTGCCCTGAGGTAGGCAGAATCACGCAAAGAGCTTCCGAAACCAAAATTATCCTTGAGGAGGTCGGCAGAACCAGGCTGCAATAGGAGCCCTAAGCCCTAAACCCTAAACCCTAAAGTTCCGTAGTCTTTGGGTTCATGTGTGCGGACCTTTTCCTTCGAGCCCAGGGCTACTCTGCAAGAAAGCCGAAGCCCCCCCGCAAACCCCGGAGGCGGTAGAGGTAGAAATCGCGTCAAGCACCCGATTGAAAGTCTGAATAATTCCTGTCCTAAATTTTTAGTAAACCCCCCCCCCCCCCTTAGCACCCCACCCTCAAAGAGTATTAACCAGTATGGCTTTTTAAAGTTCTTTTTCGGGAAAAGGGGGGGGGAGTGCCCTGGGGAGCCCAAAGGCGAGGCACGGAAAGCTCGCGGAGGTCCAAGTGCGACCTCAGGCGGAGGCACCGATGGCTTTGAAGCGGTTTGGGTGGGGGGGGGGGAGGGTGTAGGGTTTAGGGGTTTAGGGTTTAGGGTTTTTTTTGGGGGTGTTTAGGGTCAGGGGGAGGGAGGGGGGGGGTCCAACCTACAAATCCAACTTCTGTGGAGCTTGACGGCTGTTATGTTAGGTTTCAGGGACTTAAGCTTTGCGGCTTTTTGGTCTTAGGGATTCTAAAAGCTGGCTTTCTGACTTGGGACCGCTCTTTATTTTCATTGGGCATGGGCACACTGGATTGCTGCGAAAGCTGGAGCATCAGTCCGTACGAGGCTTGGTCATTAAGGCCATCACAACGAGCAGGGCACTCTGGCATAGAATTATGCCCGGCAGTCCTTTAGCTTCAGGGGAGTCGCTGTGGAAGAGGAAGAAAGGGATGATACGTGAAAGAACAGATACCACAACTAGGACACTGCGAGTGGATGCCTGTTTTGCACTTTGCTGCCCTTGCTCTCGCTATTTCGGCAGTGCTGCCCTCAAGTCGGAGCCCTCGTCGTAATCACCATAGCACCCACCTGCCGTCACCACCACCAGCATTACAATGTTCATTCCATCTCATCCGCATCATCACATTCATCAAGCACAGACACCTCATCATCATCATCATCATCAACATCATCACCAAGAAACCATCATCATCATCATCATCGTCGTCGTCGGTTCTATTGCTGGAACCCCATCCATGGCTGATCCCCCTCGGCAACTTGTCAGAATCGTCACCGATATACCTGAAACCGCCATGATGAGCAGCATCATTCGTGGTTTTATCGTCATACTCATCATCATCACACACGCCTGACTATGGTCACCACGACCGGCAAAGTGGCTTCGTGCAGAGCGCGATGATGATCTCTGTCCTCAATCCGGTCGTTTTACTAGCAGGCAGCGATGTCTCATCACAGCTCTCCGCTGCACAGGCTGTAGCACCCGACCTTACACCCGAAACCCTGAAGGCTGGAGGCAAGGAGCCCTAGGCCGGACCTCCGAAACCCAACATGAGAACCGTAAACCCCAAAGCCCGAAAACAAAAACCTACACCCTGTGGATGGGTAGTTCTCTGAATTGGGGTCCGTTTTTGGGTCCTTGTGATAAAGGGTGCCGTACTATATTGGAGACCTAAAAGGGGACCCTAACTTCGAAAACTACACAGATACTGACCATCAACCCCAAAGCCCTACATCGCCTGAGCTCCTAGACCCTAAAACCCCAAAGTAGATCTGGGGTGCAGGAGCATAGGCAAGATGCTGCACACGACGGCATTCTCGGCGATGGGTACAGGACTGCTTCTGTCGAACCCGAAACCCTAAACCCCAAGCCCTAAACCCTAAGCCCTGAAACGTGTTTTTTCGCATTTTAGGCGTTGAGGCTGAGTGTTTTGGGTTTTGCATTCATCTCTTCGGAGAGAACAACCTCTTCAGTCATTCGGTTTGGTGTGCGTTTTGGGACCTAGTTTTGTTGAAAAAAATCTAATGTAGGGGCTTAAAGAATTACCGATACTAAATTGGGGGCTCCTCTTTCTAGCTATAGTCGAATGGGCCCCAAAACCCTATTCTAATTATTTCGGACCCGAATTCTTTTTAGGTGACCGGGTGTTTATCATGTTGGGACGCTTGGTTTTGTCGCTTGTGACGCAGCTGACCCGGAGTCTTCCGATGGTGAGTCCACCCCCTAAGCCCAGGATGACCCCCCACTCAGTGCCCGGGTTAGACCCTAAACCCTAACAAAACCTAAACCCTAAGCACCACCTTAAACTCTTATAGTGTTAGAATATGTAGTGGAAACCTCGCACGAACCCACACACGAAGCCCAAACCGCGCTGGATCCTGAAGCTAGACAGTACCTAGCCCGAACATCGGGGCATGCCTGTAGACTTGACGTACGTATTCCTTACCTAGTACAGCTATCGTGTCTTTTACATTAGTAATAGTACATCGCAAACCCCGATGAAAGCCATCACTAGTTGTTGCAATGCCGGTCTGCCTGTATGAAGACCGCATTCTGGTCTCTAGGACTCTAGGAATCCTAGTGTGAACGCCGAAACCCTGAAAAGAAGCGATACTGCCCTTATAAACCAAACCCCAGAACATCTATGATGTACTCGCAAGACCTGTCCTTCGTCGCTTCGGAGGCAGCCGAAGACATCCCTTAGAGCACACGCGCTTGCATCCAAGGCCACTTATGCTGAATGTGAGAGTGTAGGATTCAATTCTTTGGTTGGGTTGTAAGGGGACCGGGCAAAAGGGCTTCAGGGCTGTAGGTTTTTTTTGTAGCTGTTTCGTCCCCATGTAATTGCACCAAGTATAACAGCTACTTCAACCGTGCTTTGACTGTCCCTTACAGTCCCTTTTCAAACGCATTGTGAACATGAGTATAGTATACCCCAAAACAAGGCTTTTTTCAGGCTCGGAGTGGAGAACCGTAAGATCAAAACCCTTTCAAAGCCCTTCCAAAGCCTCTAGAGCACTATTGACACCCTGGCAACACTTGCTAAAGCCCCCGACCAAGGCCCGATGGTAGACCCCCCGCAAGCCCCAAAGCCCCTCCCAGAAGCTTGCTGATGACTAAACCCTAAACCCCTAAACCTTAAACCCTAAACGAAGCTTGATGATGAAGCCCTGTAGCTGTTGAGAGCTTTCAGTGTTCGGACCTAAAGCCGTGCAATGCAGAGTTGGAGGGGCCTCAGGGTGTCGGCGTAGCTTCGGTTTCTGTTGAAGTGCTTCTGACGGCGGGGAGAAGGGAGGTGAAGGGATTTTTTCTGGGGCTTCGGGCTTCGGGCGCCAAGGAGAGCTGAAGAATTATAGTCTATAGTTTCTGCAACTACTATGGAATTAGGTCCCCAAAACCATAGTAAGGATGGTCTTTCGGGACCTACTGCCATAATGGTAGTGTACATGGACCCTCTTGGTGATTCGTCAATATACGTGGCCCAAAGTGTAATCCTGCCAAGCAGAATCCTTGGAAGCTTCCATGGGGGGGGAGCCAAAAACACACACAATGAGTCATAATTACGTTGGACTACTGAGGTGGGTTTTTGAAGGTTTGACCTGGGGCTCAGGGTCCCAAATTCCGGGCTTCAGGGCTCAGGGCTTAATTTTGGTTGCGGGTGTTGGGAAGCCCTGAGCCCTGACGATGAGCGCTGCGTTGTTGCGCCAGGGTTGGGTTATAAAGTCTCGGTTCGATTTCCAGCTTGATTGGATGCCACGCCACAATCCTGGAAGCCTGTGATGGCGACAAGTTTAAGGAGATGCGGTACGGCTCATTCTCCAGCAGGTGTCGGTACAGACTTATGAAACATTGTTGTAGGCAGCCATAGCCTGCCCACCACCGGTCGAACGTCCATGTGCGACCAAACCTTCGCGCCACTGTGAGGAGGCCTTCCGGTGCAACGTCAAGGCCGAACGGATGCTCTTGTTGTTGTTTGTGCTTCCGCAGCTGCGACTATGATACTAGTTACTACATAGCAATCATAACAACAACGATGATACTTATTTTGCTGCTGATGCCTCTCCTCCTACTCCTACGACGACGGCTGCTACTACTGCTACTGCTGCTACCGCCTGCTGCTGCTACTGCTGCCCCTACTACTACTGATCCTCCTCCTGCCGCTACCACGACCGCTACAGCTACTGCTGCCACTGGCACTACAACTGCCACTGCCACTTGTTGCTGCTACTGTCCTCCCATCACCACCACGACAAGTATAGGGGCCTTAATGATTAGAATAGGGTTTTGGGGCCCCTTATACTATAATTATAAATAAGGAACCCCCCAAAAAATAGTATTGGTAATTATTTAGGCCCCCTACATTGCCTAGCTCCATGGCTGAAGCCTCTCGGTTTTTCCCTTGCATATGGACTAGCATCGTACCTCCTCCTTGCTTTGATGTGGTGCCGGTGGTCGGGGGATCCAGGTCTGCTACTTGTAATCACTGTGGCATATTATGGCCTCATTTATCTTCCAAGCCCGCTGATTCTCTAAGTTGAAGCCCTGCAGCCAGAAGCTCGAGCGATCAACCCAGAGAGCCATTGTCGGACTCTCTTGGCAAACAGTCTCCACGGTATGTTCCTCTAGATGACGAGTGGTTAGTTTCCTGCAGCTTGCCGTGGCCCCACAACCTTCGCACCCAGGCTGCTATCTTCGCATTGGCAGCGAGGGTAGACACAGAGGAGCCAAGCCCATCCGAAAAAGCCCTAAACCCTAAACCCCTAAACCCCAAAAACTCCCTAAACCCTAAACCCTAAGCCTCTAAGCCTCAGGCCCGAAGAACATCTGCTGCCGAGGCGTCGCACAAGTGGTCTCTGAAGGAGAGGCAGCTCCTTCACTCAGCGATGGCCGATGTTGGAGGATTTACGGACTTACGGCTTAGGGATTTCAGGGCTGGAGCGTTTAGCAGTTTATGGCCCTTCCGGGATTGGGTCTTAGTATTTGAATGGCTGCAGTTTAAACTTTTTGGGATAATGCAATCCCCTATAAAGCTGAAAGTGTACACTTTTTTGGGCTTATGAACTCAGAAACGCTGAGGGCTCCTAACGATTGAGAGGCAAGGGGTTAGGGCTTTAGGCTTCAGGGCTTAAGGGGCCGGGTTGTGGCTGCTGTTTTTCCCAGAAGCAGTAGCAACAGCAAGCGCCTTGATGTTCCGGATCTACCCATAAAATTGTGAAATAGGATGTCAATGAGGTGGGCATCTCCATTGAACTGTAGGGCATTCTGTGGGTTTAGGTGGTGGGGCAGCTCTGAAGTTGTCTCTAGGGCTTGTAGGCTGAGGCATGAACTTTTTCAACTCGATATGGCCGCTTGTGTATCGAAATTTGTCCCACTCTTCTGGGCTAGCGAAAATTCATCAGATTCGGATTTTGGCGCCTGCGCGCTTCCACCCGCACCCCGCCCCCCTGAACCGCGCCACCCCATCCCTGCCGCGCCCCCTCCGCCCCAAGATAAAGCTTCTGGTTTTGTAATCCAGACTTAGGTGTCAGCTTTTTTGCTGACAGTGAGGCTAAACGGGATTGGAAATCCTGAAACCGCCCCAAAAGCCGCGGTCCCGAAAGCAAATGGCAGTTTCAAGAACTCAGGCCATCCACTTGAAGTTCTGGTTGTGGGCTTCGTAGGGGTAGGGTTTACACTGGAATGCGTTTGATTTTACGAGACCCCCAAATCCCGAAACCCGAATCCGTTCCGTCAAGCCCTGCATTCTTATCTGCAAAAAGCCGTCGAAAGCCAACATAAGTCACATAAGCCTAAGCGAGAAACCCCACACCCTAAACCTCAATCAGAAGAAGCTCTGAGGCACTGCTGCTCCACCAGCGGCCTTGGATGTCCCCAGATGAAGTGTGAATCAGGCCCAGTTGAGATTAGAGGGCATGGAATTCCTGCCGGTATGAAGGGGCACGAAGTCTGTCACTGAGTCGAAAGATAGCAGCGAGCCGAGGGTTTATTGCTCCGTCGAAGGGATGAGGGCTACATAGTCCTGGTTCAAAAAAGTCGGTGAAGGGCAGACGAGCTCAAGGGTGTGAGGCTACGTGGCCTGGCAAGCCACAACCCACAACCCGTCCGCCGGCGAGGCAGCGATGACTGGCAACACGCCTGGTCGCTGCCCCAGCTCCCGCCTAGGGTTAGAAGAGTTAGGGCAAGGGTGCGACGTTCCGGGCACACGCGACTACGGCACGAAGTCTCCAACCCAACTCGCAGTTCCCGTTAGTAGGAGAGCTGGTCTTCAAGCTGCAAATCAGCAAAGCGAAAGAGTAAGGCAGGAAAGATCCAGCAACAAATGTCAGTGCAGGAGTTGCAGATTTCCAGAGATTTTCAAAACCAATTTCACCAATATCTTGGAAGCTTGACACGAGACCGTCATCGCGAATTTCGCGCGAAGAAGCATGGGACGACTCCGTGTCTCTAAGTCGTACGTGCTTGAAGTACTCTTGTTATTCTAGCATATCCTAACCCATGTAAAGGACCCTACATCTTCCAGGAGCTTAGGCACAGAACAGCCGTGCGCTGCACATCCTGTAGCCGCGGGTTCGCCAACCTTTCCACAGAGCCCTCTTCATTCAGCACCTGATCTCCGCAAAGGCCCGTGTTACAACTTGCCATTCGTGCTCGTGGCTTTTGGTCCTGAAGCCGCTATACTAGCCTCAACTCGAGATGCATTCGTGCTTCCGGGTTTCGGGGTTAAAAGGCATCTTAGCGAAAGCATGTGAAGTTGTTTTGGTGGGCGCAACAACACCGAGCTGCCTTTCCGTAGCCGCCGGTTCTCCAAAAACGGCATCAGCGGGCTGACCTCGTGATGCTAGTGTCGAGTTATTGACGGCGGCGGTCAAAGCAGGAAACCCAAAAGGTCCTCAGTACTTACAAGTATATATTGTAGGAAGTAGGGTTTTCCGAGTAGGAATCGCCCTTAAGACCTATGCACAGCTTTCCTTCCCAGCGAGGTCTGTGGGCAAGAAGATCTGGTGCTGCGAGCACCACAAGATCGGATGCCACGGCCCGAGGTTTTGTTGCTTCTCCAGGGCTTTAGGGTTTTTTTTGGCTCTAGATCCACAAAAGGTAGGGTTTTTGGACAGACCGAAGCGTGTGCCTTGACTTGTAAGTAGGGCAATCTTCCGTGTGATCGCAGGCTCAAGCAGTTGAGGGCAGTCAAGAACTACACGGTTAGTTCTCTAAATTAGGGTCCCTTTTTGGGGTCCCCAATCTAGTACGGCACCCTTATAATCCTTATAAAAAGGTCCCTGAAAGGAACCCTAATTTGGACAACTACCCACAAGTTTTAGGTTTTAGGAACAGGGGCCGTTCAGGGTTTAGGCAGCCGGCCTCGAGGCTCGGTTTCGTAAGGGATCTATAAGGGTTCCTATACCAGGATCTATAAGGGCTCCTATACGGGATGTATAAGGGTTCCTATACCAGGATGTATAAGGGTTCCTATAAGGGATGTATAAGGGTTCCTATACCAGGATCTATAAGGGTTCCTATAAGGGATCTATAAGGGTTCCGGCTACTTCTTGAAGCCCCGGCGGAAAGCGCGAAGAGCCTGTGGGGTTTAAAGTTTGCGGGCTGGGGTCGTACTGAGCTTACCCAGATAGTGCCCTTAAACCCTGGGGTCGACCTTAGAGACCCCTGAATTCCTAAGCCAGCAATCTATTCTTCGTGGTGCTTCACGCACACACCCCGAACCCTGTAAGCACTACACCGAACCATGTGGTAGGGCCACCCACGCCTCTCAAGCCCCCAACATCTCAAAGCCCTACACAGGTTGCACACCACGTCTTATATCCCATAACGCACCTAACTTCTGCAAATGTTAATAAAGCCGACGAGCCTAAACCCTTAACCTGAAGCACCGAAGGCCTAAGCCCTAGGCTAGATGCAACAAAAAGCCCCGCTTATGGGAGAAAAATCCTTCTGTGGGACCCGAGAGCTACCCCGAAAACCTTCAACCCTAAACCACCTAAACCTACAAGGATCTAGAAGGGCATTCTAAGGTTTAGGTGGAGCGGAAAAAAACACCTAAACCTCAGAATACCCTTCTAGATCCCTTGTAGGAACCCTTAACCCTAAACCCCCTAAACCCTATGCTACCCTTATGGATCCCTTATAAGAACCCGTGTAGATCCCTTATAAGCACCCTCATAGATCCCTTCTAGGAACCCTTATTATAGATCCCTTATAGGAACCCTTATTATAGATCCCTTATCGGAGCCCTTGATATAGATCCCTTAAAGGCACCCTTGTAGCAAAAATACAAGAACCCAATGTTACGATTCTTCAGCCCATTCCTCGCGAAGGCCCCGGGCCAGCTCCCGGCAAGGCCCGGCGGGTCTGCTTGTTCTTAGGGTTTAGGGTTTAGGATCTGCTTTTTCAGTTTGGGGAGGTTTCGGGGTTTGAGGTTTAGGTTTTAGGAGAGGTTGCGGATTTAGGGTTTAGGGTTTCCGTGTCCTTCTTAGGGCAGATCTTATCGACAAGTATCCATAGTATAGTTGTCTGCGGACTGTATGTGTGCTCTTAAGATAGCTTTTGTAGATCCATATCGACAGCAACGCTGTTTAGGGATTATAAGGGAGGGCATGATTACACAAGATTCAGACCTGTTGTTCAGGATTCTTTGAGCCTCAAAGTTTTCGGTGTTTCGAGTTCGAGGTTAGGAGGAGTGAGACCTACGTCCTTGATGTATACATGAACTACGCATACCTGCGTGGTCTCAGTAGCAGGGTCTTGATCATGGTTGATATTGTGGTTGTGGGCATTTGCATGTTAGTGGTTCTATCAGCGATTACTATCAATAGCACTATCGTAAGTTTTGTGTTTTACTTTTACTATTATAAGTTGCACTATTACTAACACTATTGCTGTTGGTACTACTGCTTGTCGATCACTGTCTTTCTTATGGTTACTATCATTGTTATTATTGCTAGTCTATTATCATCTTCAGTACTATGCTGTTACTGTTACTGTTACTGTTACGACTACTACTACTACTACTACTACTACTACTACTACTACTCTTACTCCTACTACTACTACTACTACTACTGCTACTACTACTACTACTACTACTCCTTCTTCTACTACTACTACTACTACTACTACTACTACTACTTCTACTACCACCACTACCACTACCACTACGACGACGACGACTACTACTACTACTACTACTACTACTCCTACTGCAACTGCTACTGCTACTGCTACTGCTACTGCTACTGCTACTGGTACTGCTACAAGCATCTCGGCTGGAGATGAAAGCTTGAGATAGTGAATCGGTGCCGCCATGTTTTAGGTGTGGACAGGTCTGTGATCCAGAACGAAAGACGAATTTCCGGACCCTCATGCCTCTATTGTGGCACTGCTTCATTCTGGGATGTGTGAATGGCTGGGAAAAGAGCGCTCAGGACCCTACGAGGCCCCTTCAGATGATCCCTGGATTCCCAACCATAACAAGATACCGGTGGACCTGGACAGAGAATATGCCCGCAACCTCTTTAGCCGGCCGCAGCAACGTCGACACTTTCTTGAATTCTTGGGCGAATGTCTGCTTGTTTCCATGGGAGGATACATCAATAACATTGACTTCAGCTACCACTGGGATAGGACGTGGACAGCACAGGATCACCCAGGTCGGGCCCTGCAAGCAGCC